CAACTTCCCTATTTTCATTGTACCTCAAACTTTTAAAATCATTAAACTTTTCTATTTTCAAACATCATTGAACTCTTTCTAAATAAAGATTCATTTTGCTTCTCAATTTATAAAAATCATTGCACTCTCAATGAACATTAATACAAAAATCCACCAATATTGTTCTCAAGGAAAAATTTTACATCATAAGGCATAAAACTCATAAATTTGATCTAGTGAATTTCTTCACAAATTAAGTCACACTTGCATTTCTTTAATTTTATACATTCTAATGATAATTCATAAATCATTAAACAAATAGTCACACACAAGCATAAGATAAAATTTCTCCGATTACCTTAAACCTTTAAGAAGTCAAAGGTTTCATCCCCTTAACTATTCACTCCCAAAGCTTTCAAGAAGCTTGAATGGTGTCAATAATAATTACACTACAAGCATTTTACCATGCAAAATATCAATATCTATTTTGAGCTTTTTTTCACTAGCATTTCATCATTTCTTAATTCTCAAAATTTATTCTAGGCTCATGAAGAAGTATCCATAAGGCTTCTTAGCTTTTTTTAACTCTCATTAATAACGTTAAGCTCTTAAATAGGCATTAATGAAGCCACATTATTCCCAACCAATAAATTTATGAGAATTTCAGACATTTAATATCCTCCAACTATCAATCATCATAAAATCATAAATATCAAGTTTACTTAACTTAACCTATCCTTATTAACTCTATTTAAGTTAATAGGTTCGGATCTATAACCTCTATGGACTGAAAATTACCATTAAAAATCAAACTCTAACCTCTACCATCAAGAAAATGGAAGAAGAGAGGAAGATTTAAGCTAGAAAGCTTACCTTTGGTGTTTATGAGTTGCAAATTACTCCCAACAATTATTTTCTTTAAGCTCTAACTTAGCTTTTTCGCTACTCCTTCGTTCTCTTTTGTTTCCTCTTCATTTCCACTTCAGATTTGCGACTTAATACTACAAAAATCTAACCATGTGTTGCAGCGGATGTACTATGCACCACGGCGCATAGCACAGAGAGCTTCTTTCAGGTGTATTGCCACACATAAGTCGCGGCGAACCAACCGCACGCAGTGACGCGTGGCACATAATTACTCCCTTCAGAATTTCTTCCTCTCCTATTCCCAGGACCCGATTCTCCTTTGGACCCACATTTAGAATTGAAATTAAGACCAGACACGCCCATTAGGCCTCTCTAGCCACACACCTCAAAGATACACTTTACTAATCTATTTAAGCTTAATTAATGTAGATTTAAAATTGAAGATGTTACATTGGGGCTTTTATTTCATATTTTCTTAAGTAATGGTTTTGAAACCATTACCTTAGTTTAGGTTTTAAATAGTTAAATCAAACCTCTAAACATAGATTTATGGATTATATAATGATATAGAGTTGCTGGTTAGGGTTTAGATAAACCCTAGAAAGAAATTGGATGATTAAGAGTAATGTGGGTAATGTAATGGTGTTGTTTAAGTGTTTGGGTATTAAATTGAATTAATGATGTGTGTTGGAAGAATGGTTGGGGCTAAATTAAGGTTTTTGGGTAAAATGGGTATCCTAATTTTGTGTTATAAATGGGATGATTAGTATGTGGATTGACAATTAAAGGTTTAATCTTATAGATTAGCCTTTAATCAAGTATTGTAGTGCTAGTGGATATGTGTGGAGCTATTGGTTGACTACAGTAACCGTTTTAGTGACAAAAGGATTGAGGTAACCAGATTATCTAATATTGCTTTTTGTATGTTTGAATGATAGTGTATTAGATTTCAAAGTTAATGTTTTGATTTGGTACTGACATAATAATAATATAAAAGTATGGTTTTGAAGTTATGTAAAGTGGAATGAAAAGTTATTTTAAGATTTTAATATTTGAAAAGCTAAAATGATATTTTTATATATAACTCCTAGTGAAATTTTATGATTTAAATAAAAATGAGAATTTGTGATAATTTATATGTTATGACTATGTGTTGGAGTATTGAGCATGTTTGGTGTGATAACTGTGAGAGAGCGTGAGTTCACCCTAGTGTGTTGTTGGAACATTGTTTGAAAATTCATATGATACACCAGTACTGTGGAGGTCTCAGTGCTCAATATTATATTATTTGAAAGTCCCAGTACTACGTGAGGTAGATTGGGCATCAGCACCCTTAGTATTTGTGAATAGGGGGAATCTGTGATTCATAGTGGGCGAAAGCGCTCTTGGCCGAGAATGTCTCTTACTAATAGTGAGCTTGGGCCAATCCAATTACATAGACTTGGTCCTATTAAGTTGTTAGCCTCCAAATTCATTCAGAAGACATAAGGAGGGTATAACGTGGTGTGTTGATCACGCATATCATACTATAACTATATATGTGGATTTATGTGACTTGTTACATATTTTATTATACCACTTCACATGCGTACAAACTATTCTCACATACAAGTAGTTAATTAGACCATTTGGTTATTGAGTCATCAACTCACCTTGTGGTTACATTTTATAGATGAAGGTTTTAATAGAGGTAAGGGAAAGAAAGGTGCAACCGAACATTGAGGGGACTAACCAGTGATTGTATAGTTGGAGTTTTGGTGACCAAATATTGTTTGGACTGTTGTTATTGTGTTTTGAATGTTAGTACAGGTTGTTTGTAGTCTATTTGAATTGGTTCAAGTGGTTTTACGGCTATTAGCATTTGGTTTGGGAGTTTGGACACCTCGGTAGTAATTTTGGAAAAAAGAGTACCGTTTTGAGTTTGGGTGTCCAAATCTCATTTGGAATAGTGTGTTGGCGTGAGATTAACGCCAATAGCTAGGTGGCCTTAAGGGCTACGTGTAGACACTTGAATCATTCAAATTAAATGGTGAAATGGCACGCTCCGAAAGTTAGCCCGGAAGCATAGAATGTGACGTTTTCCTCTATGCAATCCGTTGTGGCACACTATGCCTTTATGGTTGAAAAACCTTCAGTTTTGCTTAATATCTTCATGTGGTAAATTCTCATGCTTTTATTGTTTTATCCATTTAGTTTTAAATTATGGGTTGAGCTCAAACAATGTATTAAAATGTTTCTTTAATATTCTTTTAACCCCTTGTGTTATAATGACTTTTTCTCTTAGGATTAGACAAATTCTCGGTTATCATAATGGTGTTTCATGTTTGGTAATGTTAAAGATAACGTTACATGCTACAATGAAAAAACTATGAACCTATTTAGCAACTTATTTTAAGAATAATTTTTTATTTTTTAAAATAAAAAAATATGTTTGATAATGTGTTTTTAATATGTATTTTGGAGAATAAAAAATAAAATATTGTTATGAAAAATAAAAAAATAAAAATATCTTTTATGTGTTTTGGAATTATTGTTTCAAAAACAATTGAAAAAAATACATATTTTCATTATTATTTTTTCAAAATATGTTTTACAACCGTTCTTAAATAATGAAACAAAAACAATTTCAAACATGCCCCATTATTCACATTTTTTTAGATGTCCTTTTTCAAGAGTTCTTTGGCTTGGAGCTTTGTCCTTAAAATTTGATTTTTTTTTTTAATTATTGTTCAAGCTATTTGCAATTCTAAGGGACTTTATCAAGCATCTTATCCTGTACAAGAATTTTGATCTTTATGAGAGATTCATGATTTTAATTTATAGTATTTGAAAGCTCGAGAATCAGGTTGTGACAGTTGTCATAGAAGTCTTTTAAATTTCCAAGGAGGATGGAACTTCATTTGTTTTAAGGAAAAGCAGAAGCCACTCAATGTGATTAAAATCTTAATTCTTAAAGACGGCAAGTTGTTATGGCTGCATGGTCTAAGCACGTGCCTACTAATCTAAGAGACTTCAAGATTCTCTACCCTCGTTTAGCTTTGCTCTGGACCTTTATCATGACTCCTATTATTGGGGATCTTCGATTTCAATACTTCAATCTCTTTTGTTGGGCAAACTTCTTTGATAAATCTTCAGCTAGAGGTTTTAATTCAATGATTGTAATAGATATTTGCTTTCTTCCCACCATACTCAATGCGGTATACACCACAAGTTTGCGTCTGAAATCAATGCAAGTGAACACATATATCCAGTGCTTTACCTTCCTTCTTTTAGCTCCCAACTTGTAATGTTTTGATTTTCTTTGTCTTTTTAGTTTCAGATGTATTTGAAACTGATTGTCTTTTTACCAAATTAAATAATCTCTCCGTTTAAAAATATAAAATATTTTTTAAAAATTATATAAAATTTAATCTTTCGAGAATCATTTATTTTTTTAAAAGTATCTCAGTTAATAATAACTTTATATTTATTGTAAGGTATTTTAGGAATAAATATAAAAATATAAGTTAGTTTAAAAGTAGGTAATTACTTTATTGGAGAGTGAGATTCGGTTAAAAATGCTTTATATTTTTAAATGGAAGGAGTAATTACTTATTATTAAAACTACTATTACTATTATTATTAAGAAAACTAAAGTAAAATAAAAATAAAAATTAAATAATTGCTTATTGTTAAAAAAAAGCATTACCTATTATTATTATTATCATTATTTTGTTTTTATAGAAAAAAGATGCGAGGATACAAGAGCGGAGTATAAAGTTGTATTTTCATTTTCCATTTAATATTCACAAGAATGGCATGGTTAACCAATTTTCCATCCTAAAAATACCCCATTTAATTTTTTTTAATCAAACGACTAACTCTAACATTTTCCTAATGAAGGTCGAAAAATTATTCTCCGATCCTAATGACGCATTGACGCTGGGTTTGTTTGTTTGGTTTCTTTTTTTTAAAAAAAAAAACATTTCCCGATTGACGAAAATGAAACTCGTTGAATTTTTTTACTTGCATTTCAACTACGCTGGAAGATTCGTCCCGACATTTTTGCCGGGGGTCACATGTGCTGTAAATTGTCCATCTGCCCCTAAATTTTAATAAAATTTTTATTTTTGCCCCCAATATTTTGAAGAATTACACAACTCTGCCCTCATCTGGCTGAAAGTCTGAAACACATCGATCGCGTTCTCTCGACCTCTATGCCTTGATTCGACTGTTCCTCCTGTTTTTGGTCCGGATTAAGATGCCAATCGTTTTCACTTTCCAGTTCTGAATCGGTAGCATTGGTGAGCAGCTCGTTTGTTTGAGCACTTGATTTGATTTTTGAGTTCCCACAGTTTGTTGTGGCGTGGGTTGGAAATTAAGTTGCCGATTTCAATGGAATACGAGCTCTCTGATAGCAGTGGTGGGTTGTTTCAAAGAGCTGTTTTTCTTAACATTATTTTATGGATAATATGCTGTGTAATCCTCAATTTTCAAAACCTTGACGGTTTTGGTGATGAAATGGGTTTATGCTCGATGATTTTGATCTCATCTTAATTGCATTATTGTGAGAAGTCTCACAACTGAAATTGCATCGGTTTTTAATGACAGTGGAGTGCCATTGGAGTTTTACAACTCTTATCCTTGAATTAACTGTTTGGCTTCTGCTCTCCCTCCCTCACCCCAGCGCTCCCTCCCCCCCGGCTCTCCGTTTGATCTTGTGTTAAACCTTTTCTATTGGTTGTGCGTGCTTTTAATGTTTTAAGCTATTGCTGCTGGTTCTGTTTTTATTGAAAGTGAAATTTGGTTCTCAGAAACGATTACTTTAGGGATCTTTTTCCTATTAAATATTCACTCAGAGTAAGGTGGCTGTTTCCTGGATGAATTTAATTCTTCTGGAGATGAGAATCCTTGTCTACCTGCAGCTTACAAGACATTTCTAATAAGGCTTTTGAAATTTTTTTAATAATAACAATATATTGTTAATCATTCACTCATTAATATGATTTATAATTCACGCTGTTGTGCTTCACAAAAAAGTTACTGTTCAGTTATTCCTGCTTGGTTTCCGACATTATTGGGGAATGAAGTTACTCGAAAAAACATTTTAATCACTCCTTTTCACCATACCTGATTTTTTTCAGTTTACTCATTGATTGTAATCATGACATCAGGCCTGTTAGCCAGGTCACTAGTGCGTATAGGATCATTCACTAGATGCTGCCCCAGTTGTTAACGGAGTTGTGGATAATGTGAGAAGTTAGAGTAATTAGGCCTTGGTGTCTAAGTTGAATTTTGAAAAAGACTTATGATTAGTCCACTGGAGTGTCTTGGATTACGTCCTTGATAGAAGGAGCTTGTCTTTCAACTGGCTATTCCTATCTCTTCAGCATGCTGAATGGCAAACCTAGATATTGTTTTTGCAGTCAAAGAGCGGCAATAGAAGAGGGCCCTTTGTTCCTTTTCATATTTTTTTAGTGGCAGATGTGCTTGGGGAGGAAGGGGTTTGATGTCTCTAAGTGGCTTTGAGAGCGGTCTTATAGGATATTCGTGGCAAGTTCAAAGGAGTTTTTTATTTTTAACCTCCAATTAGCATATGATATCACCCCTTTTAATCTTCCAGTCTTGCAACTTTTTTCCTGGTTACAAGGTTGAATTAATTTAGTCTAGAGGCTGTTAATTCATTTTGGAGTTCCTGTAGGTGGAATATCAAGTGCCACTTCTTTCTGGGACCCTAAATTCTAAAGGTTTGTAGAAGGTTGGATAGTTGACTTCGTTGCCTCTATTCAGACATGCTTCTCCAGCATCCACATTTTATTATCTTTTTCTTTCGGATCCTAGCATAGAAGGATGGGATTTGGTCCAGGAACTTGGGGGTCAAATTGACTGCCAGATTGGGCACTTTGCAAGACTACTTTATGATATCCACAGAAGATGATTCCATCAGAATGGGGGGATGATAATTTGGTGCTCAATGCTTTTCCTTTTTTCCAATTTTAGTAGAGTATCTCATCCTCCATCCACATATTTCTTTTTCTTCCTAATGCAATCTTTTTATAAATAAAAAAAGGCTTGTATTAGCTTTGTTTTATCTTTGTCCTCTTCATTTTGTGTCTCCTAGGGGATCATGGCATCATGCCATAGATGATAAATACATAATAGTAAAAATCAAAGTTAAAAGAAAAATGATGGATTAGTGACCTGTATCAATAGTATAAATTAGTATATCTTCATATATGTTTTCCAGCTGCAATTTGCATTGAAGTAACTTTATTAATTAATTAAAATAAGCATCATCCTGACCAAATTTGCACACCTTGGTCTTGACAGTAGCAAAATGTTTTAGCTGCAGAGTAACTTCTAGATAGATAGGTTTTTCACCTCCAACAGTGCACCATAAGTTGTGGACGCTTACCATCAATGGGTCACTAGCAGGGATCAATGTCAAGATTTGCTTCAGTGCAACTTAATTTTGCCAATTAAGCCAACCCTCATTCATTACTGCAAGATATCTTTAATGATTTCTATTTCTTAAGTAAATGATTGTTCAAATAATAATCATATGCAGAAGTACACTGAATAACAAATTTAATTTTTTTCAATGTTCTGTTTCTTGGTTTTCTATTTTTTGACAGGCTTCCTGCTTCTTCTAATTTCTGTCCATTCTTTCTTACCTTCCCTTATATTTTTCTTGTTTGGTGTTATTATTGGAAGGTGCCAAATGTAAATTTGGCCGTTAAGTTATATTCACATTCATGAGTTCTCTTTTTCCTACTAACCTTATACTCCCTGCGTTAAAAAATATATTTTTTAAGGGGTTGGATGTTAAAAAATGTAGGGGATTTTAAGCTTTTTAAGGTATAATTATTATTTTTTTTTCAAAAGTATCCCTATTGAATGGATTATTTTTAATTTTTTTCAGGGTGAACCGCTTTATTAAATAGGGGTGAATATGGAAAGATAGGGTTAGTTTAAAGATAAGTAACTATTTTATTAGAGGGTGAGATTCGGTTAAAAATATCTTACATTTTTGAACGAAGGGAGTACTTGACAATGTTCCTTTTTTCCCCTTTTTGTCAACGTACTTGGCAATGTTTAAGAAAGAGGCTGCTGGTAAATTGAATATAGACCTCTAGAAGTTTATTGCTCTGCTTATTATAGCTGATCATGGGTGCCAGAACTAAGAAAAGTCAACAGTAAAATTTGGAAGAATTATGAGATTAAGCTCATTAATGTTATCTCTTACTGATTGATTGCAAAGATGCAATGACTAATGCAAGAATTTGGTTTAGTTCTATATTCTTACCTTATATGTATTTCTTTTTATTTTTTGGGTTTTCATTTTTCCCTTTCTGTTCATGCCTTTTTGGAAATTGGAAATCCTGAAATTATCCATTAAGTTTTTTATTATGGGTCCTCGTCCTCTACAGTTATAATAGTCTTGTTCTGGACACTATAAGGTACACACCAGTCTGCTTTGCTGCCACAACTTTTCTTTGGTAAAACTAAATCTCGTGGAATGAAATGATTGAACATATTAGATATTCTTGTGAGCCAGAGAAATTGATTTTAATTGTGTTCCAAGTCTACTTTATTTATCTTGTATTCAAAATGATTCTTATAGTTGCTATGACTGAAATAATTGCAGGAACAGACAACGATCTTCCTCCTTCACATCAAAGTAGATTTCTACGGCCAGGCCATGTGGCTGGCAATGGAAGATCAGCCCTTTTTGGGTCTGGTCCTTTTTCCAGGGTACAGAATGACATGGAAACTCAGATACACAACATTGAGCAAGAAGCATACACATCTGTCCTGCGGGCTTTTAAAGCTCAATCTGATGCAATCTCTTGGGTATTTATTTCATGATTTGATAATTAAGATTTATACAAAATTATGATGGATAGGCACAATAATCTATGTTATTCTTCTTTGGCTTCCTGTGTACGTTAGGAAAAAGAAAGTCTAATTACAGAGCTTAGGAAGGAGCTAAGAGTGTCAGATGAAGAACATAGAGAACTTCTATCTAGAGTCAATGCTGATGACATTATCCACAGGATAAGGTCATATTACATTTTGCCATTTCCTGCTGAGCATTTTCATATGCCATTGTACAAAACATGGTTTGTTCTGCATCTGGAGAGTAACCAATTTGTGCTGTTAGGGAGTGGAGAAAGGCCAGGGGACTCCAACCTGGCACAGGAAGTAGTGCTCAACCAGCTCATGACCGCATACCCAGCCCTACCATTTCAGCATCTCGCAAGAAACAAAAAACATCACAATCCTTGGCTCCCTTACCCCCGGGTGCACCATCTCCAGCAGGTCATGCACCTATGCAGCCATCATCATCAGCATTGAGGCATGGACCTCCATCAGGAGCAAAGACCAAAAAGCCAAAATCAGTAAGTGAGATGGTTTTGGAATGTTGATTGAAAATATGATACTGAACTACTGTAGTCATTTGCTTTGTGATCACTGATCCCTGTTTCAAGATAACAAAATACATTGACAACCACATTTTTAATGGAGTCTGTGCAGTTCTCTTCTACAGGTCATACTGGAAAGACCCAGGCTAATAATCAGGGTTCTTCAGGTGCCTTCGCTACAAGTGAACCTGCTGAGGCTGCCTCTTATGATCCTTTGATTGGAAAGAAAGTTTGGACAAGGTGGCCTGAAGACAATCACTTCTATGAGGCTGTTATAACTGATTATAATTCAGCGGAGGTGTGTTTATTTTACACTTTAGAAATTTAGTCAAATGGACATCAAGTAACGTTAACTAATGAAATATTTGGTAGGGTCGGCATGCTTTGGTTTATGATATGAACACTGCAAATGAAACGTGGGAGTGGGTCAACCTTAAAGAGGTAAAATTCTTGCAACATGCTTTGTTTGTGTAATATCGTAACATTGAGTCTCATCTTGAATTGGATATGAAGCATCTGAAAAGTTGATGAAGTAAGCATTATTTGCGTGCCTAATATCTAGTCGGGATCTGTAATTGTAATTGGCAGAGTCAAAGACTTTCCCGTGGGTGTGGATTAACGGGAAACACCTATCATGGGCCACTACATCACGTGCTCTCCTTTCTAGGAATCTTTGTTTGGTGCAAACAAATGAAACTCAAGCATGTATGATATAATCCTTTTTAAAATGAAAATGAGAGAATTACATACAAATCCCACACAATACATTTAAACATTACAAGATCCATTAACAACTTAACAAAGAAAAATGACAACACATTAAGATGTCATTTTCCTTTGCTCAGTTGTCAATTGATCTTGTTGTATTTAATTGTCTTGTGTGGGACCTCAAAGTAATTCTCCCAATAAAAATTGGCTCACATCTTTACTCTAAATTAGTAATAATACACTCTAGTTTCTGTTCAGATGGTTTTAAGCTGCCATCCCACAACTACAATGTTGCATTCTTTCAACCTTATGTTATGAATCTTTCCTGCCCCTAGCTTCCTCGTTCGTTCTCAAATGTTGTTTGTAAATGTTTCTATTTCTCTTTACATTTTTTTTTTCCTCGAGTTATGGAACTGTGTTGTGAAAGGCCACTGGCTTTATGATATCGGAATGATCTGAATTCAGATTTGGTTCAAATGGGAGATATTAGGACTTGGGAACATGACGAAATGATATTACTTCTCATACATCTATCCGTCTTTATGAATTTAACATTTCTTTATTACAGCAAAAGCATTAGAAACAAGATTGTTCTTGCCATTTATTGTCAGTTGGTGAGCAGTTGTTTTAAAATGTTTCGATTGTGCACTGATCACAAGAAATTTGCTAACATTTGAAAATATGTCACTACTGGCAAGTTTAAAAGACCAATATTCTGGTTTTATATTATAAGTTAATTACTAGAGTTCTTGTTCCATCTGAGCACCAATGAAGTGATAATTTTCTCTTCTAATTATATTCTATCTTATCTTTCTCCATGATTTCTTGACACTAGGCTCTTCATTATTATCTTCTGAATCAACAACCAATCTAAAAATAAATTGAGTCTGTTTTGCTAATCATCATTGACTTCATTGATCAATCCAAGTCAATAACTGCTAATTTCATTGGGCAGATATCACCAGCTGACATTCGATGGGAGGGTGAAGATCCTGGAATGCCTCGCCGGGGGGGACGTCCTGGCTCTGGTCGGGGAATAAAGAAGTCTATGTCTCGTGGTGGTGCAGTTACTGGTGCAGGAAGGGGTAGAGGAATGACCAAGGTACAGCCTAAGAAAGATTCCACTTTATCGCAAAATGGGGGTAGGAAGAAGCCCACAGGTGATATTGAGATTCTACATACGGATACGCTTATCAAGGAGGTATGAGAATAACCATTAGAAATTTCTCCAATTCGTGCTACTATGTTAACGTGTTCTAAAAAAATGGAATTGAAGCAGGTTGAAAAGGTTTTTGGTGTCAATCATCCCGACCCCACAGAAATGGAGAGAGCAAAGAAAATGCTAAAAGTAAGCATCAATCATCTTCCTCGAATTCCCTGCATGCTATATTTTGATTTCTTCAATCTTAATTGTCTAATTGGTCCATTGGCAATGTAGGAACACGAACAGGCCCTAGTTGATGCAATAGCCAGGCTTGAAGATGCATCTGACGGTGAAAGTGGTAATAACTAACATAGAACTGTGTTTAGAAGTATATAAAATTTAACCACATTCTGTTGTATCTTAATTTTCGGACATTCAAGCCGATTACAGCGGGGGGCCAATTTTCCCGTAGTTTATCATAATGTAACACAAGGTGGTTAATAAAATGTGTTTTCGCTTTCTTCGTTATTCATCATTGCCTTGCAATGACCAATAATTGCCTCCCTATACAATTCTGGGATTGGATTTTCCGCCCCTCTTGACTGATAATTTATTTATTTATTTTTTGTACGAGTCTTGTAAATAACTGAATATTGATTAAATGAATTCCCTACTTTATGTTGCATTTTGTTGCTATAAGCCAGATGGGGCATTTACATTTTCACAGGGGCGATAAACGGATCTGGAAAGAGGCTGGAAGAAACGACAGTGTGATGAGCTGGGCGGTGTCTAGCAATTGAAGGTTGAAATGGTAAATTAACAAGAGATAGGACTTCGTACCGTGATGAAGTGGGCAGTGACACATGACCCAAACTTGTACCTTGTTCATATGCTATGTTTTATGTTGTATCACTAGTAGGTATTTATCTATTTCTTAGGCTAGCACCTAGCAGGTTGGACGGGTTCCAATCTGGTTGAATATGAGCTGTGTAACTTTCCCACAGAACAGATCATAATGGATGGTTCTTGCTCTCTCTCTCTCTCTCTCTCTCTACCCCCCCCCCCAAAAAAAAAATCCAATCGGAGCCTGGTTTCTTCAGTAGATGGCAGGGAACATAAACAAACTGTCTAATCTCCAGTAGAACGAACAAGAAAGTTGCGTTATGTACACAGTTTTTTATACCCACAGAAAGAAGCGGTAATCTCAATAGCAGCAAAGATTTTAGTAGTTTGTCTTTCAAGTTACAATGATGCAATAAATTGAACAATGAGATCTACCATCTGGGCATCAAAAGCAGGCCCTTCCATCTGGAAGTGTCCAACCCCATCAATAAGGTGCGTCTCTGCGCGTCCTGCTGCAGAAATAAGCTTGTTTTTGAGCTGCTTCACACTGGTGAATCCATCCTGAGTTCCCATAATGAAGAGCTTCGGTTTTGAGGATTGCAGTATGGCTTTGTGGTGTCTTCCAAAAAGGATAGAAGCAGTCATGCCAAATGGATAACCTATGCTCACATAGCCAATGACTTGTTCAATCTGATCTACCGCAGAACCTGCTATTGGTGCCCCTGCATCCAAAGAAATCGTTCAATTCTTCCACTACTCCCATCATGGCACTCCTGAATGATTTGGGGACACATAAACATGTGGCTATGGCCTTATTTAACACTATACTCCCTCTGGTCTTTATTATAGCACACTTTTAACTATTTTACATATCTCAAAAAAATTAGCTTTTTTTTTATATCATAAAAAAAGTAAGAGATACTTTCATTTTTATCCTTGACTTTAAATAATAATATAACTACGTTAAATACCTTCACGCTAATAAAAAGAGGTAAAAATGAAAAAAAGTAATTTAATTATTGTAAGGTGTCTTATATTTTGGATTAAAAATTACTTCAAAAAGGTGTTTTATAAATAGGACCAAAGAGAGAATGTCTAGCCATGCACGATCAAGCAAGCACATGCATGCAAGCACTCCATGCAAACTCATAAACTTCCCATCCAGAAATGACCAACTAAATGGGACATAAATACAAAATATTTCATCTGAGCATCAGCATCGACTGCCATTTCCTTTGATACCAACATAATGACAAGTTGTAAGCAGAAAAACTCTATTAACTACAGCAGTAACAGAAGGCAAAGCAAATGATCCAACTTCTTCCCATGCAAACGTCACAAAACAAACTGAACTCCTATTTTCAGTATAAGGTCCTCGCTCAAATCCACTTCCACTGCCCAGATAATATTAATGGTGTCAAAAGACAAGTCTAGGTTAATGTTTTCACAAAAAACATTCTCCGCTGATGAGATGATCCCCCAGAATAACAACAGTGGACGCTGTAAATTTGAAATTGCAATAGTCAAACTGATTAAGAACAATTAATCAACTGCAAATAAAAAATATGGCGTGTCAATACAAATGTTCATGATACTGAAAATAAAGCATCCTAGTTCTTTAGCAGTCAATGTTCATAGAACCGTTCCCAGATGAATGATAAGATCGCAGATTATCATTAAAAAACTATCATAATCTTGTACACGTCTTAACTGCCTTTAAACAACACTCCGCTCATACAACTGATATTGGTTATCTTTTCACTATAAATTACCGAAAGCATTAAAAGCTCAGAAGACTTATTCACCAGTACAATCGTTGACGGACTTCCCCAAAAGACATCCTCTCAAATTTGATTTTAGTCTTTCCATAATAATCGTAATCCAAGTCAGAGTAGCAGAACATTCAACGAGATCCAGCTCAAGTAGAAAAGAGTCACAATTAGAAGCCAGATTGATGCCCCTATCAGAAAGGTACTACGACCTACAAATATTATCCTCCCGGCAATTCAGGCATTGCAAACAACAGAAGCAACAAGACCAGAGTAGTGAAGGTCATCAACCGAAGCAGACGAAAAATTACAGTGTGATAGTTCACCATCTTCCTTTGAGCAACAGAGATCAGAGCATAAGCGAACCATTGAGGAAGATAGCCCCCGAAAAACAAGCGGGATAAATCTTATGGGTTGTAATTTCAACGTGGGGGAGGACTATGTTAAATAGGGCAGATATAAGCAAATGACAAGGAAGAGCACCAATTTGGACCATAATCTAAACTAATTTCACAGATCTGAAATATAACAATATTAGGGTAGCACACATGAATCTATTCTACAGCCTATGGCACTTCACAGACAACATAGAACCCCTTGATCCATGTGATCAAGCAACAAATGAAGGAGAATCAAGGGAAAATTATACCTGCGGAAGAACCCACCAATAGAATCTTATCAACAGACAGATTCTCACAGACCCATTTGCAGACTCCAATAACATCCTTAATTTCTGAAAACCCAGTGAGGGATGGCCTCCCCGTGGAACTTCCAACGCCTCTCATGTCAAAGGTCACTGCTCTAAAACCCTTTTCCGCTAATCCAGAAGCAATACCTTTCAACAGGCCCTGGCAGCCACCCAAAACGGAGTAGGGATGGACAAGAACGATGACCAAATCGTGTTTAATCTCTCCAGTGGGTTTGAAAAGCCTTGTTTTAAGCTTGACTCCGTCAATGGCTTCGACCATGGAAGACTCCACTGTGCAGTTAGACATGTTGAAATGGAGGAGGAGGAGAAAGAGATGAAAGGAAAGGTGTGCGAAGAGAATTTCATGAAGGGATAAATTCTCGAATGATTGCTTGGCAACAAAAGAGAGCGTTGATGGTTGGTTGGACAACCCATGGGGGAAAGAGAAAGAAATGTAAAGAATTGGATCGGACTAATTGGGCTGGCTTGGTATGCCTTGTGATTCAAATGCGCCTCCTCTCCATTGCATTGAATACCATGTGATATGAATGAAACCAACTACATGGCACAAACCAGTGGCAAACGGCAAACCCGTTGAACCCGACAACCAAGTCGCTTGTGAAAAGTGAAAATTGTCTTTGAAAATAAATGTTAAACTGGCGACTGGTTAGGCCAAATTGATATAGTCGTGTGCCTCGAACAAATTCTAAGTATTGTCGGATGTAAATTTAAAAACATTCACTCTATTCATATAGACTTGAATTCAAGATCTCATAATTAAATTATCATAACCTCTTTCACTAAAATTAATGTTTAATTGGATCAATTTCTTATCATTCGATAGCCAATGAAAATAAAGTAGGTTCAAATCCCATGCCTTGCACAGATTTGATCTAACACAATTGAATCGATAAGGTGACGCCTCGATATTTTTAAATTGTTAATTAGAAATGTCATTTATTAGATTTTAAAAGTTAATTAGAAATGTCACTTTATTAGTTTTCCTATGAAATGCACAGAATTGACCAAAGTCAATTAAGTAAATCAGGTGACACTTTAATATTTTGAGCAGTCAAAATTTAATTAATAATATTGTGTATTCATAGATTTCCTTATCAAAATGAAGACGTTTTTTAAAATAATTTCTGGAAGATGGAAACAATGTACTTGTTAGTCGTGCCTTTATAATATTTTTTGTTTAACTTTAATTGTTTTTTAGATTCATGTTTATAGTGTGTTTTCATGAAAATTATCACATGGGTGTCTTCCAATGAAATTTTATATGATTATATAGTATGTTTTATCTCTTATATGTTCATTTTAGACTTTGTAAAATGGTAATCTGATTTTAAAAATTTATATACGAATGAGAGACTGAATCTCAAACATTGCACAGATTTTACATGACAAAACTGAGTAAGGTATCTAAGAAATCTACATTTAAAATGTATAAACAAAATTGATAATGTTCGCCCTTTTTTAAATAAAATTTTGTTATAAATGGAGGAACATACAAAATTTAATATGATAAGTCTCAACAAACTCTTTTTGTTAATAACCAAGAAGCAGTTAACGATGACATATAAGAAAAATAGATTTCAACTAACTCTTTACTAATCATGCGGCAGTTAACAATAACGATGACCTAGAAGAAAAATATTTAAAAAGTTATTTTCAATATATATCACTCCGGAACTAAAAATTATTTAACGATGTCAACAGATGAAAAATTAAAACTTCTGTTTCAGATTAAATACATCGGTAATATAAAAAAATAAATTTTTTAGATAGATTCTTGCGTATCGTAGGGGGGTTGATTTAAGAAAATTATAAAAAGTAATATAGATCACAACATTTTACAAAATTTCAGTTTTAAGTGAGTAGAAAAAATACATGACTTACATCATCTAGGCAGATCATCCATGTTGAATTTGCCTTATTAAACATACCAAAAATTATTTTTGAATACATTTTTTATTTATAAATCATGCCATAATTAATGTGGATGCAATAATAATAGAATATTGTTAAAATGTTTGATCTCTATGGTGTTAAAAATTGTACGTTATTGAAATAATTTGAAAACACATAGTAGAATTCACAAAATTAACACTTAAGTTCAAGAGGGATAATATTAAAATCAGCCATTTACAAAGAGGAGCTCAATTAGCCCTTAATTGTTCAAGAAACTGTGATTGTTTTGTTGCAGAAAAGCATTCCATTGAATCGTCTTCACAAAAATTGATTTGGTCAGATTGATGTGCCAGATTTGCGGGATGCCCAATGAATCCAAATTCCAAATTAAGTGTGTAATATAATACAACATTCTTTAAAGCACAAGGAGCATAAATTTCCTGAATCTGCCACAACTTCAACAGCCTCAACACTTACGGTTCCCACATATTAAAGCAAATTCAAAAAACTTGCCAGCTTTGATCTCTTTCTCCATTGCACTCCTTTCAGTAAAATGGTAATAAGTCACTTCATTAATGGTAGAATAATCCGAATACTCTGAAGGTGTGGGTGAAACGTACATTTACTGTGTTCAAGACCTTATAGTTAAGCGGCCGTAACTCCTTTCACCAAGCTAGTGCTTGATTGGACCAATTTCCTAACATTCAATAGGCAGTGAAGATAAATGTGTTGGGTGTTTGTTGAGATATGCAAATCCAAAAAATAATAACAATAATATAAGTAAGTATTATATAAAATTATTTATATATTCTTACAATGTTATTGGTGATTTTTTTTCTAACCTCCCAATTAGTTAATTGGAAAAAGAAATACCTTAATCACTTCAAAAATTCAATTAATCTAGTAACCTACCACAATAATATTAATGATAATGCTTTTGAAATAATTTTGTTAAATACTCTCCACAATCCTTAATATAAGGTAAAATTAACTAGCTTTGCACTTATTGAAAAATTATAGTTGTATCCTTGAAATTGTTAAACAGTATGCAACTTTACAATTTTTTCTTTCTTTATAATTAAGAATCATAATAAATTGTTTTGTAAAAATTCAATTGATAATAAATAAACAAGGAATAACATTGAAAAAATATTAATTACTTTTGTTTGGATAGAAGAGAAATAAAGTCAAACAACAAAAACTGTAAAATAAAATACAACTCTAACTTCGCCTTATACAAAAAAGGTTTGATTTTTAAAGCTTGTGTTATACATTAAATGTGAGTATACTACTTCTTTTATTATAGTAATTTTTTTTTTTTCATATACCCCTGTCTAAACTGTAAAATGCACATTTTGTGAACCGTAGTTGTTAGAATAGTTACTTAATAGAAACTGCAGCCAGTGCAAAATTTATTTTATTTATATAAAAATATTATAAAACAAATATACAGCTGGAGACAAGATATGAAGATTACTTGTAAAGGTTATGGACGTGTCAATAATTGAAGAAACTAAAATAAATGAGTGAAAAGTACACCCATTTATAATTCGGACACAACCCCTTTGAAAGCAATTTGCGTTTTGGAGTATGATTTCACACAAACGTTATCGTTGATAGCAAATTCCAGTGAAAATGAATGCAATAATTGTCGAGGGAATGGTCCCACATTCTTAATTGCTCGTATAATGTCGTCCAGAAAGCTGTGAAGCTTATCCTAAACCAGCTGCGTTTTAAAACCGTTGACATTTTTTAGATTACGTCTAATCTCGTGGCAAAAGCTTTGAGTGTTGTGTTTAAATTAGGTCAAATATTAGCATTATACATCTACTTAGCTTTAAGACAAACATGATCCCTACTTTAGTTATAGTAATCCCTCCATGGCAAAAAAAAAAAAATCATCCCATTTTATAAAACATTTTTGAGAGAAATTCGCATTCTCAATATATAAGACATTTTGATAAAAATTAAATTTTATTAATAATATTTTTTAATATTATCCTTTTTATATATTCTCTTTCTTTCACAATGGAATATTAAATGAAGGATATTTATATCAAAAAAATGAAGGGCATTTTTTTTAGTTTATATTTTTATAAGGCATTAAGGTGTATTTAATGAGTTTTATTGATATGTATGATTTTATTTGAAAATGTGTTATAAACTGAGATGAAATAGTATTTTATAATCTAATTTCTGAAAAAAAATAATTTTTAATCTACTAATTTCTCATGGATTTCGTCTTTTTAATACGATCCCCAGATCATCAATATTCAGTTTAATGTTTTGAAAATCAATCCTCGACACGTCCAATATCATGACAATAATATAAGTCCAATATCATAATGATAATATAAGGTATTGATAAATAATTTATGAATTTAAAAAGATTTAGGTGAAATTTTAATCTCTTAACAAGTTTTGCATCTGTCCAATTATAACCTAATTAACTATTATATAAAAATACCTTAATAATAATAATTAAAATTTTAATTTATCAATTTTAAAAAAAAACCAATAAAGTAGATGTATTATTAAAAAATAATTATAAAAATTACCTGATATCTATATCCTGAATCAAGTAAAATTTATTGAAAATATCATCTACCGTGGCAAGGAGGAAGTAGAAGACTGTGTCACAATGTTTTGCACTCAATACACTGTTAAAGCCTTAGGTTAGCCGCTCGCCTAATTGCCATCATAGAATGACTCTTTAACCACTTTCTTCGTCTCTCGACTAAATCGAATATCATAATATGTTTTTCTTCTAAATTATTATTTTTGTTGGCCAAATTTTTCTGGCCAAAATCAGACAAGGAATCAAGGGCATACGTACGTATGCACGTGTGTGTGGCTCATGAAGTCCTGCGTGAATAAATAATCAATATTGGTCAACCCAAAAATACAGCACAATACTAATAAACAGATTAAATGTGTAATTTTATATAACAACAAAATATAATAATTATAATCAATTCCAAACCCTGATAAAGAGACATATAGTTAGTTAATTAAAAATTCCAATCTCTCAATTCTCAAGCCACGAGTGGCAACATTAACTGCCAAATATTACTTCTGTCACAAATTATAAATATTTTAAAAAAAATTTATCGTCCTAAATACATATAAAATATTTTGATAAAAATAATATTTTATTAATAATATTTTTTAATATTACCTTTCACATATTGTAAACACTATATTTTATCTGGGTCCTAATAAATAAATAAGATGATATCTATAGTAAAATAAATAAAAAACGAAAATAATAAGAATAAAAAAATAATATTTTACGACAAGAATATATATATATATATATAGTTGGGTATAAAGATAATAAAAAAATATATTTAAGTTAGATCACAATATAATAATTGAAATAATCAAAATATAATATAATATGACTTGAAGATTTTAAGATAATATAATCTAATCTTATTTGAAGATTTTAAGATAATCTAATATCTAATATTAAGATTTAAAGATTTTAAAATAATATAATAATCAGGATATAATAATAGAAAAGATAACAATTAATGTCTAATCTCCGAATAATGATGATAATGATAACAATATAAGAATATATAAAACACTAATATTGATGACAATAGAATGGAGATATTAGAGAAATCCTAAATGTATAGGTCTATATAAAGAAAAGCAAAGGAAGAACATAGGACAGTTACAGAGACAGAGATAAATGAGAAAACTATAAGAGAGAGGACGATAGAGATTTAAGTGGATCGAGATTTGTAGAGGTAAGTTCACATTTTCTTAAACTTTGGGCATGCATGCTTTTACATTAATCAAGTATTTTATAAGGTTGAATCTTAAAGTTTGAGTCTAAAACCTCTAGAGCTCTACACATGATCTCTCCTCTAATTGAATTACAAATTTTTGTCTTCATGTGATTGAATATGGTGTGCATGAGATGATTTCCTGGAGCTATTGCTTTATTCTTCTTAAATCTTCACGTATAAGCCTTGCTCTTTAAAGTTCTCTTCTTTTAGTGAAGTTAATTAATTTATCATAAGTGGTGATAAATTATCACAGTGCATCATTTGAAGTGTTTCATATTTTTTTGACTGTTTGATACTTTCAAAGTTCTTACAATTTTATAAATTAATTAATTTATTATCTTGTACATAGCGATAAATTATCGCATGTACATAGTTTTAAAATCATCAGTTATATACGACTTTTAGAGTTTTCATAAATTTATAAATCAAATAACTTATCATACGTAATGATAAATTATCACAAATACACATTTTAAAATATTTTATCATTATTTAAAAATAAAATATTTTCTTAAAATAAATAAAATAAAATAAAATAAAATAATTTTTCAAAGGTCAATATATAGTAAAAAGCTTTCATAAAATCTTATTATAATATTTTTTCAAGATTATCTTTCAAAATTTCGTTACAAATAAGGAAATAAAATATTTTCATAAATAAAAAAACTACAAGCCAATATTAAAAATTATTTTATAAAAAATTTCATAATTAATATTTTTTTCAAAAAATTCCTAACCAAAAGACACGTGTTTTTATCCCGAACTATATGAGTTTTGATCTCTTAAAAGGGTACATAGGCCCCAGGGTTTCATCCTAGGTCAAGTCCGACTTATAAATAAATAAATTTTTCCTTTTTAATTTTCTTACTTTTTATCTTATTTTTATTAAGGATAATTAATATATTTTTAAGGCCATTTAAATTTATATAGTTAACTTAAGGTAACTATTTATATGAATAGATATTGTGAGGTGCCTAATACTTTTCTCGTATGCAATCGACTCCCCCTTTTCTCTATACGTAGACCACATGTCATAAAGGTTTTTAAAATTACCTTTTAAAATTTTGGTGACAATTCCTAAACATTTATTTTTTATCCAATTTTTCTTAGGAAATTTTGGATCGGATGCAACACATATATTCTATTTTTTTAATATTCTTTGATAAATGAAGTAATAAATAAAGGTTATAAATGGAGTGTAAAGGATTTTATTCAAAATATCTTATAAATTGGGATCAAGTGTGTACTACAACACAACACAATTTTCTATGTGTACAGACATAAATTAAAATAACCATTGATTGATCATATACGTGCATGTATTAATGGTCACAGACACGTTTATAGATGATCAAATATATATACATTTGGTTCAATGTATATCGACATTACCTGAGAATCAAATTGCAACAAGCATTTGTCACTTTTATTAAACTTGACAAGCAGATATATTATATACAAGAATCAAATGAAAAAAAAAAAAAACACACACACACACACACGGAGAGAGATGTAGAGAGTATACTCCTCCAATCCTAGTGCTGAGAGATGATATTTATTTCAATCATATTTATAAGATGCCTCAATAAATTATAATATTCATTTTTATTATTTCATCCCTATTAAATATAAAAAAATTTAATAAATGATAAAGTATTTTATTTTAAAGTAGGTATATTTAACAGAGGTAAAATTAAAAATTGATTGATTTTTTTGAACAGACTTAATAAAGTTTAAATTTTTTTTAATTTTAATAAAAATATTAAAAATAATTTATAAATAAGATGAAAAAATAAAGAAAAAGTGATCGAGTGGCTGAAGTTGAAGAGGAAAATAAATAATATTGATGGTGGACGAAAATTTATGAGAGGCAATTAAGACCTCAAACAGGAAGTCAAAAAACTGTGAGGTGAGCATAGTGATTTGACCGAGACAAATCATTGTGCTTGACATCCAAGTGAAGCAAGTATTAATTGGGGAGTGTTTGGATGACAAGTTATGCGTCAGCAAACGAAAAGCACTTCACATGCATTCTTTTGGCTGAGATTATTATTTGCCCGCTTATATTTATTTTATATATATATATATATATATATGTTAGTTCTATTTACAAGATTGAAAAAGAATTTTTTTTTCTATTTATAAGTTATATAGTTAAATTTTTATTATAATTTGTTTCTTTTATTTTTTATTGAATGTTAAAAGAAAAAATATATATATATATTTAATTAGAGTAAAGTTGAAAACTTATTAAATATTTATATAAAGTTTATAATTTTTAAGTTTTTTTTACTTTGATAAAAAATACAGTAAATAATTTATAAATAGGAACAGAAGAGTATGTTTCATTTCTGCAGCTTCGAATCTAATCAGAATCCATGATACGTACATCAGCTTATGGGAAATTCTCAATCTCATATATTGTAATTAGTGTTTTCAACTTTACAATTATGCCAAAAACAGTCTTGTTGAAATTAATATAGACCCCTCTTTATCTGTGATTGGAAACTATCCGAGGATTCGCCACATTGAAATGATGACCAACAAAAACGACAAAAATTTGTAATCTTAAAAAGAAAGATAATACTATTGTGAATTTAGTTATATATAACCAAATTCATTAACAAGAAGATTAATTTTTTTTTATATTTTTTGTCTACTCACAAAAAATTCTCTAACGTATGTGTATTCCGATCATATCATAATATATTTAGTAATGCAACTTTATTTACCGAAATAAATACATGCAGATGTATCTAAACAGTGTAGCAATGTAGCGTATGATTTGATCTGACATTGTACATTATTGCTGGGAAAAAATAATGTTGGGAAGATATATCTTTCACTTGTTTTAGTCCAAACGTGCATGTATGTGGGTGCGTGCGTATATACGTGGTGATTAAATAGAAGGAGTCCTGAGAATGTATTCGTGATTGTGACTTGGAAAATGAAAATTCAAGTACAATACGTGTGTGTGTGTGTGTTGAGAAAATTTTTATGTGATTTATTACGTGTATGCTGTATGCATGCATGCGCTATACTTTATTGTTCAATTTAATAATTGGTTTGGCCATGTGGGGACTTCAATTTTAGATACACGCACCAATTAATTTGGAGCATTGTGCATGTGTATCAAGTAAATGTTCAATAATATGTTTAAAACCTAAAACAAGTAAATATCCGAGAATGTATTTATTTATTATTATATTATGTATATATCTTACTGTGGCGTATTTGTTGACATGGTTAAGGTCCTTTTCTAGTTTTCTTAATTAGGACAAATTAAGGATATTCAATTATAAATGGCAAGGATATTTGAATAATTTTACATAATTAAAATATAAGACTCATCGCAATTGGAGTTATTGTTTATTAATTGTAGTGACCATGCCAAACAGTTTTGTTTCAGAGTTGAAATACAAAAAAAAATCTGGTGGTCGAAAACTAATTAAGAATCAAGGCAAATAAGAATATGAATTCTCATAAATATATGTGATCAAAAAATTGGTGAAGTAGTTAACAAAGCGCTGATACAATAACATGAGAAAGTACAATTGTCGATTCTTATAATTTCATTTAGTTTTTATTTTTATTTTTATATTTTTTTTGAGTGTTTTTGGTTATTACATGGATTAAAAACGTTAAAAAAGTTGAAACTATATATGAGGATCTAAAAAAATTAAATATCACCTAATTTTTTTAAAACTATAGAGACTAAAAATATTGAAAAATTATAAGAATTAAAAGTAAAATTTGATAAAACTATAGGATGGATAATTGTTTTTTCCTTAATTAATAATATTAATTTTATATTTTTATACAAAGGATAATATTAATATTCATAGTTCATTACGTTTTTTCCCAAATCCTTATTAGTGCATATATAGATAAATTAATGTCAAGAGGCAAGCGACTTAATTAAATATTCACTAATAAAAACTATTAATAATATAATTGTCAGTTAATTCTTACACCAAAAAGCTTCAAACCCTTTTTTGCAGCATCTGTTGGAGAATGCAACATTTTCTTTCCATTCTCTGTCTCATTCTCATCATCGTCATCTTCTTCATCTTCCTCTGTTCTATTATTGAAGCTCAACATTTTCCCAAAACTTTGCCTGTAATCTCTCTTCTTCTCTCCAAAACACTGCGACGTCCTCGAGCTCTCATGAACATTATCTTCATCATAGATAACATCAATCAGATGAAAAACTTCACCCCCATTAATAATCCTCCTATCGATTATAGGCTCACACTTATAGAACACAATAACATCCTTAGCCTTCAACCTCTTGTCTTTCACAAACCGGTTCCAACCTCTCGTGAACACAAAGCTTTGACTGCTTCTCCAATAGCAGTATCTAAATTTCCACGACCTCATTAACTTGTCGTAAAACACAAGCTCAATGTCACTGTTAATATCCATCGTCGTCCCATAATTATTATTACTGTCGGCTTCTTCTGTAGTGCCCGAAGCGTAAGGGAAATACCTACTCGCATGTTTCTTGGGGATGACGAGCCTATTGAGTTTGCCCACGTCACTCGGTGTAAGTTCCTTCTGGAAGAGCTGGTTGTAGGAGAATTTTTCTTCTACGTTCTTTCTGGCCCTGGTAATTTGTTCTTCCCCGTTTAAGGTTAGGGTTAGGGTTTGTCTGCTTAAGAGAAAAGAAGCTAACTTGGAAGGATAGGTGCCGTCTCTGATCATGCTGAGGACTGCTTTGGTGGTGTAATGGCTTTGGAAAAGAGGCTCTTGTACGGTTTGATCGTTCCAAGGGAAGTTCCGGTGGCTTTCACCGCTCCGGAGCTTGATGGTGGCGCTGTCATAAGCCATGGCAGCTTCTCGTTCAGATTTGAAGGTTCCAAGCCATATTCTTTGGTGATTTGCGTATATCTGAGCACCCCAATGACCATTTTGCTGAGGCACTACACCTTTGAACTTTTGCATATTCGTATTACTTCTTACATTCATCCTCTCCGATTCTCTTTGATTATTTCTCACCTTCTAAATCAGAACAAGAAGAACTTCTGTTAAAAAAAAAAAAATCAGAACAAGAAGAACAACTTTGGTTCTCTTCGGTTTTGTTTGTTCTTACAATTTAATATATGATGTTTGAAATTTAACAGAAAGATGATACGTTTCGGTTTCGTGCAAGTGGTAATTGATAAATTAAACTATATTTGGAAGTCCCAATTAACAACATAATTAGGGAAACCTAACTCTAGTTCAAACAAACTTGAAGTTATACGTTGAGTCAATTAAATTTGAGCTAAGTGACCTGGTATATGTATTATTGCTTAATTTAGGAGATATATATACTATTTCTAACAGGTATGGATATCTCATATCTATTTCCTCAAAACTAATTAATGATTCATTGATTGTCTTTTTCATCATCAATTGTTGTTGCTTAGCTTGAATCAAATACACTCATATACCGTGCATGTTCCTTGATGACTGCAACGAAAAATTAAAAGAAAAAACTGTGCATGCATATGTTCAATAGAGCTTTCAATGTAACCTGACTAGCACCAGCTAGCACCACATCTGGTTTTTGTTGCAATATTGAATTCCTACTATAATTAATATCTGCATCAGCATCATTATTATATAAGTCTATTGAAAAGGTAAAAGTCTACATACCATCAACACACGTCTTGCAAATGAGCACTGAGAGCTCATTGTCTCTAAACCTTTTAAATTTAGTATGAATTATCTAAATTTACATCATATTTTAAAAAAAATTATTTTTTAAAAAACTTATGGTTAAGATATTGTCCTTATTTTTGAAAAGCTATAAATTTAAATAATTCATAGACGATGAGCTCCCAATACTCCTCTGTATGGTAGTCATTGAATCCAGTTCCTATACCATCATTATACTTTATTACAGAAAAAAATGTTGCGAAGTGTTTAGACCTTATAATAAAATTGAAAATAGCACATTAAAAAAATTGAAAATAGTGACATGCTAGCATACATATTTATTTTCATCAGTTACGAGAACTACAAATATGATTTTGATACACCATTATTTTAAAAACTTAATTGATGTTAATTTTTTTATACAGTAAGTATGTGTAATTTTATACATCTTTTAATGTGATTTTTGAAATTATTTTTGACAAATTTTAAGTTAACTAATTATCAAAGTTAATTAATTTTTTAGCAGCAGCATGCTCATAATGCACAATTTTTAAAAATTGAAAGAAGAAATTGCACCACATAAAATTTAAGATATCAAATACTTCAATAAAAATACCTTTTAACCCTGCTTAAAATACTTGCCCACGCCTGTGAGAAATCAAAAAACACTACTGTGGCAATAAAATCTAGATAGGAGTATCTTTTTACATGATGCACGAGACACATTATGACAAATTCTTACCTGTAAAAAACACTATACACTCCTTCTATTAGGAAAAAAAACTGAAGCATGCTTGACGTACTTTAAAAAAAAAAAATTAGAGCAAGTGGATTTTAAAATTGAATGCAAGTTAACGTGTTAATTTTCCTGTTTTTTGTACTCTTTTTAATTTATTTCCTTCTGTATCTCCTTTTCTTTTTAATATAATTGTCTTTCTTAAAAAAAAGTTAATTATAAAATAAGTAATGCATAAAAAATCCATTTATATCCTAAGTTGATTGGACAAAAAATATTTCAAGTGTATAAGTTCCAAATGCTTATGTGTAAACAAAAGGCATTCTCACGACAGTAGTGAACTGGTTTTCAAATTAGGGAGATGTCTTTGAATTCCATGCAAAAACATAGGAACAAGTAAGTCATGCACCTTTTATTGAACTTTTCTAAATCTAATTTAGATGGTCCGATTTAATTTTCTATTTCTTTTTCAAAAAATTAAAACATAATTTTTTATTTTGCCGTTGAAGCTGAATAGTTCAAAAAGTAAATATGTACATCCGCACGCTTTTCTCCCAAAATGTAGAGAACATGCCCGTCATATCACAGGCTTCTCTGTGAGACCTTATACTTAGGAGCGTTTGTTATAAAAACACCATCGGCTTCTACATCTGACCACATACTTTCATTATCTGGCTTCAGTACATATACAGAGGGCTTCGGGTTTTGATCTGCTGTTGCAAATATTGAGGAGGAGGGGGAGGAGGAGACAAGGGTATAATTTCATCATCAAAACATACACAGGCTTCATTAATCTGCTAGCTAGCTAGCTTGAGCGTCTCTCTCGTTCTTTCTCACCATAAATGTCAAAAGGTCTGAACCCATCATCGAACGGGACGTCGTTTATATTGGCTTTTGTTATCTATTCTCTCTCCGTCCCGTTGCTGGATTTTGATACCATTCCGGAGGAGTTCACTCTTTCTGTCACCAAGTTTCGCAAAAGGTTTGTTCACTCAAGCTTTAGTAATTAATATTCTTAAACTATTGCTATCACATTGTTATAAAGCATTTCGGCAAACATGGATAGTTTCGTTGTAGTCTCTAATAATAAACAACCGATCGACTCCTAAGAATTGTGTTAAAGTTTTCTCACCTACTTTATTCTGTCATTTCATGATCCAATATCATGTTAAATACCTCAAAGGGAACTAACTTGATGTCATCATCAATTCTTGAAGGAAAAAATTGTTTTATTTTGGATATGGAGATAATTAGTTACTGTGTATTTATGATGGAACTATAGATCCATGATCTTTTTGCCAAGGCCGTTGCTCATTTTATATGCAGAGGTGTTTTCATATAATTTGCTAGTTTCTGTGGATTTTCTTGTACTTTTTCTGCAGATTTGGAGCTAGATTTAAAGGTTTTGCACTTTTTTTCTTAGGGTACGTGGACTTGTATATTTAGGGACTTGACTTTTCATACGTGACTGTCCAGATTTTTTATGTGGATTTTTATTGTTTTTCCTATTTTTTTGTGGATATTTCTTTTCTCAATATAGAGGCTTTTACGTCTTTGGTAGGGCCCAACAAATAGTCAGGTCTTTATTGCATGTATTGCATAGTTTAGACAAGTAACTTGGTGGACAATATAATTAGATTTAGAAGTAAAAGGGAGCTTTCCCTCACCGATGAGACCATTTTATACCAATTTTTTCTTTCATAAGTAAAATTTCAAAAGCAAAAGAATTTTTTGTTGTTGTTAAAATTATATATTAAAACTTTAGGTGAAAATTTCCAAGCAAGTGTGTGGGGGTATAAGTAGTCCTTAAATTATTAGACTACATTAATTTAATCTCCGAACACTAAATGTTAGTTTAGTCCTCTTTCTTTGAAGTTTCACCACACAATTCTAAATGTGATATACATGTCAGATGATGAGAAAACTTGAAAGGGACAAGGGGGGGAAAACCCCACTCTCACTAATGCCAATGTTTTATTAGGCAGATGCCAACCCTATTGTTTTGTGGCACAGAATCTCCTATTCTATTTGACAAGAGTTTTAACACTTCATCTCTTCCTCACTCACACCATTATTCTTTTCCCAATTTGCCACTCGCTCTCTTGTCTTTTCCATTATAATCCTAAAGCTTTCCTTCTCTCTCTACCTCTTTATCAATCATAAAGCCAATTTGAAAATGATACCTCTACATGTCTTTTACCTTCATCTTTCCTATATATTGCATGCTATCATGGTACACTTATCAACCTTATTCTTCATTCTTCTTCTCCTCTATCTTTCATTTCTATACTCTATTCCCTGCTTCTTGTAAGTGTTTTGTATTTTTCAGTACTCCACTACTTCCTCATTTCCATCATATCTTTAGACTTAATTGTTCAATATTTTTACTTAACCTCTCTATTCTTATATTCTTTCCCGCCCTTTTTGATTGTGTAGCATCATGTCATTTTTTTCAAGGATTTTTTGTAGGCTAAAATATTGAGAAATGGCCTGTTCTGAATCAGCTTCTTTTCCTTGTTTTTGGGTCAGTTATTAGTTTAAAGCAGAGTTTGTTCAAATATTGCAGATGGAACCAGAATTGGCCCCTCCATGCTCTGCCAGCTCCATTGAAGTTGCTGAACTCGAGGTTAGCAATTTCTGTTGTTTTAAGGTCAATTCAATACATCGATAGGAGATTCCACTATCCACTCTATATGACAAAACTCACACGTCAGAATGGTTGGAATTGTAGTTTCAATTTGCTTCTTAGTGATGGCGATGGAAGAGGTTCTGGTAGTGGGTAGTAGATATGCTATAATACAACAAAAAGCATTTATTCCGATCATCTATAGCCATTACATTTCCTATTTCATTTTCTATAAAAATTTAATTTTTATGTGGAATCATATCATACACTGAATCGTCAGGTCAAAGGACTCTAAATGATTTGCTTTCCTTTTGAGTGAAATCACTTTTGTCGATACAAAATATCAAGTTCCACACCTGTGTGTAGGAAAAATATACAAGTATTCAGTGGAATGATAGCTAGAAAATTTTGAATGAATCTCATAATGACTTGTGTGTTAAAATTTTTAGCAATCATTTCACAGAATATTTATAACTTTGAATCTGAAGTTGTTGTAATTATATTTTTATTGTTGTCTGGTCATTTAAATGGCTCCTGGGACTTAAGGAAGACTTATTTTACGTATATAATAATTGAAGTCTAACAAGTGACTTATTACCCAAAAAATTCATGGCAAAAAGTAACTGTTTATGTATATAATATGATCCTAATTTTATCCTCTAAAGTACCATGCATTCATTTTATATGCAAGAAATTTTCACAATGTGATTCTTTTATTTTATATAATTTGTTGCAGCAAAATCAAGAGGCAAGACAAGAAAATGATGGCTGCAGGGACCAGTCTTCTGGGGGAGAAAGTTGCAAAATTGTTGAGAGGAGTGCAGGAGGGTGGAAAATTGCAAGCATCTTGCTAGGTACTAATCAAAACCAATGATCATTACATCTTCCAAATTTCAAGAACTACAAGCCAGAAAATGATGAAAATTTTGCTGCTTATGTAGCTGCCTCTTTCATTTTTTTAATCAGCCTTTTTCTGCTCTGCTCTTACCCATTTATTTGCACACAATTTCTTTGAAAGTTTTTTTTTTCATCATTTTGTTCAATGCAGTGAATCAGGCACTAGCAACACTAGCTTTCTTTGGAGTTGGAGTGAACTTGGTCTTGTTTTTGACCAGAGTTCTAGGTCAAAATAATGCTGAAGCTGCCAATAATGTCAGCAAGTGGACTGGAACAGTTTACATGTTCTCACTGATTGGGGCTTTCCTTAGTGATTCTTACTGGGGTCGGTTCTTAACCTGCTCAATCTTTCAGCTTATCTTCGTTCTGGTAATATATCAATCAACTTTTTGTAACCTTAAATTAACCAAATCCTGGAACTACCTAATTGCTAACAAGCTTCATGTCTGTCTGAATTCTGGTGTTTAATAGGGATTGGGGCTATTGTCTTTATCATCATGGCTTTTCTTGATCAAACCAGTTGGCTGTGGTGCTGAAGAAAAACCTTGTCTTCCTCCATCCTCGATGGGAGTTAGCACCTTCTACTTGTCCATATATCTAGTGGCATTTGGCTATGGAGGGCACCAACCTACCTTAGCTACATTTGGCGCTGACCAGTATGATGAGAAAAATCCTAAACAGAAGAAGTCAAAGGAAGCTTTCTTCTGTTACTTTTACTTTGCCCTCAATGTTGGGTCCTTGTTCTCCAACACTGTATTAGTGTACTTTGAGGATTCAGGACACTGGACTCTGGGTTTTGTGGTTTCCCTGGCATCTGCTGTCATAGCTTTTTTGTCATACTTGGTGGGAACTCCTTGGTATAGGTATGTGAAGGCAAGTGGTAACCCAGTGGTGAGAGTTGCTCAGGTGTTTATGGCTGCTTATAGGAAGTGTGGTATTGATTCATCAAAGGCTGAAGAACTTTATGAGGTTGAAGGTCCAGGATCTGCTATAAAAGGGAGCAGGAAGATTCTGCACACCCATGAATTCAAGTTAGTCTTTGAAATTTGGTAGCAAATTATGCAATAATCCTTGTCCCCTTCTATAGACATTCTGATAAAACCAAGCAAGATTGGTACTGTTATAATTTTCTGTCAAAAAATAACTTAACTGATTTCAAGATTATGATCCAAGACCTAAAGAAGCATAGAAAGTACAGCTATATAATGGTGAATATGCTGGAAGTTCCCTTTATTTATGGCCATTTGATTTTTATATGCGAAGTGGGTCACATATAGCTCTAGAATCCTGGTTTTGCTATTTGTAGTTCTATTATTAGATGTTTCAAGTTTGTGAACAGCGTACATATTTAGTTATCATACATTTATCAAGATTGCAAATAAGCAACTAGCTCCTCCATTAACATCAGTCATAATGTTTTAGATTGATATGAGCTCTGTAACTAATAGAGAAACTAATGTTATTAATTTATGTTCGTTAGATTCTTGGACAAGGCCGCAACAGTCACAGAGGAAGATGTGAATAGGCCAATGAATCCATGGAGGCTTTGCACTGTAACTCAAGTTGAAGAAGCCAAATGTGTTCTGAGAATGTTACCAGTTTGGCTCTGCACTATAATTTACTCTGTTGTGTTCACCCAAATGGCTTCTCTTTTTGTCGAACAAGGCGATGTCATGAACTCCTACATTGGAGATTTTCACATACCAGCAGCCAGCATGTCTCTTTTTGATATCTGTAGTGTTCTAGTATGCACTGGAATCTATCGCCAGATCCTTGTTCCATTAGCTGGAAGACTAAGTGGTAAACCTAAGGGACTATCCGAGCTTCAACGAATGGGGATTGGCATAATTATTGGAATGCTAGCCATGATTGCAGCTGGTACCACTGAGATTATGAGGCTGAGACATGTCACTCCTGGGAAGAAGATCAGTTCCATGAGCATATTTTGGCAGATTCCACAGTATGTCCTGGTTGGTGCTTCAGAGGTTTTCATGTATGTTGGTCAATTGGATTTCTTTAATGGGCAAGCCCCAGATGGAATAAAGAGTTTTGGGAGTTCACTGTGCATGGCTTCAATCTCTCTTGGCAACTTTGTGAGCAGCATGCTGGTGAACATGGTGATGGCAATCACAGCAGGAGGCGACAACCCTGGGTGGATTCCAAATAACTTGAATGAAGGACACATGGATAGGTTCTTCTTCCTCATTGCAATTCTTTCTGCTGTTGATTTTGCTATTTACTTGTTCTGTGCCAAGTGGTACAAGGGCATCAATGTTTCTGAAAATGAAGAAGGAAGTATTGAGCTCGTGGGCCAAGAGGATGGTGATGATAAGGTGATCAGCAGAGTTTGATGTGATTCAAATGTTTTGAAAATTATTATTCTTTTTTATATTTGTGTTGCAACTTGCAAGTTTCAAGGTTGGACTTTTAAAGGACGAGCCCTTTTCTCAAAAGTAGAAAGCATGACCATCTCAACTTTTCAATATAGTTGGTGGGGTGATTGCTTTCATCCTGTTCATTATTTGGAAAAACTTGGTAGAATACTGCTGAATTGGTTTGGCCATTTGGTTTTTATTCCCTGTAAATGCTCTGAGAATGTTAAAAATGAGAATAAATTAATATCCAATATCTCATTTCTCTCACTTCTGCATTCAACTTTTGAGCTATTGATGTTTAATGCAGCTGAAAGACTAACTTATAAAATGACACAAAACCTGTACTGGATCAATATATAAACATCTATTTAAGGTTAATTTGACCAGAACCGTGTTAGATATGAAAGAAACTGCATGTATCGTCGACGACTACATTAGCACAAAAATTATGGTTGTTTTCTAAAGTACAAGTACTATTTTCCGAACAGTATATGAAGAATCATCCTCGATATTTCCGCATCAGTTATATTATCACCACAAACTCCATGGAAAAGACTCCTCAGCATTATTTCTATCTAAAGAAAAGAAGCAAATACGAGAATATCTGAGGCAATGATCATTGAGATTAAAGTTGACGAGTTTCTCAAAAATTTAACCATTAGAGCAAGAATCCCTGTTACAAATATCATACTTATCGCAGAGGATAGATGCCAATCATCATCAACGCGGACTTGCGAAGAAAGTTGGGCTTCAAATTTTATACAGTTGAAAAGATTAAAAAATTCTAGTCTTAATGAAAATAACAGAAATTTTAAATAAATGAAAGTGCACAAAGCCCGGACCCAATAAACTCATCTTTTCACGGCGGGATTGAAGGCCACTGAAAGCCACGCAGATTCGCATGCATTAGTACAAATAATTAATCATTAGGTTAGTGAAGTTCGAAGGAAAGCACACCTCTGGGAGAAGAGGGCTTACAGATGAGCCGCCTCTCGGATATGATACATGTCAAATAAATGTAAGCGATGTCAGGCAGGGACAAGGTTGGTGTGCCAGATTGACAGATGGATAGTCAGTCCAACCCCATGTCAACGTTGGACTGAAAGAAGCATCCATATCAAAATCAAAATCGAGGGACCCAGAGCACCTACTTTTTAGGGATACATATACTAGCCTGATTTTTATCGCCATATTCATGTTGGAAAATGGAGATGCTTTCGTTATCATATTAAATCTGACTCTGCTAGTTTAACCTGCAGTTAGATGCTAACAGTACTCTGTTTTATCCTCCTCACTGCCACTGTGCAACTTATTACACGCCCCCCCCAAAAAAAAAAAAAACTAAATTCCGGGTCTCATGAGGTTGAGATTGATCGCATGTATAGTTTATGGATAATATTAACTTGAATCATACGTCTTGTTAAAGCAACCGGCCAATTAACCAAAAAAAAAAAAAAGAGTCGAATCAGTGAGAAAGTTTGGCAATAAAAATCATTTTTGAAATCCATGCTTAGGTGTTTAAACGTGAATCCCATATGAAATTAGTTATTTTCTCAATTCCATTTATAGGTCAAACTTCAATATTTATAACCAAAATTTAGTTTTTAATATGTGGCTAGGATCTGTGGGTAATTTTTTTTTTTTATTTGAGACGTGTATGTAATCTTCCTTAAAGTTAAATAATTCATAAATTATTTTCAATGTATGTTTAATAACATGATGCAGAGTAATAATTGAAATTACAGGAAGCAAGATATAATTTGTGAATTATCTTTGATGTTCTCGTGAGAACCTTCTAAATAAATATATACTCCAAACGAACCTGTCATGTCATTTCAATTCTCATTCCTTGCTATTCGATCTCTTGCTGCCCATACATATCCGAATCCTAGCCTACAGCTGGGGGAATCAATAGCCAAAACAATTAGTAAGTAATTTATCAGAGCCACGTCACGAGCATAGGATTATTAGGTTAAAATTTTGAGAGATAGGCCTGAAGCTGAATCATAAAATGAAACTCGCTTGAGTTCACATCGCGGTTGAATATTTGACAGGAAGAAAGACCAAACGTCATCTGATTGGGCAAAATAAGTACAAAGGACAAATGAAAAAGATAGAACACCGCAGAATCTAATCCTTATTTAATCCCCATGGAACATAGAAATTGTGGTGAGTTTATCTGACTGCTGTTATAAGGACAAAATCCTAGCGACGGGTCTCACGTGACTGGTTCATGTAACCTTTCTCCAAAAGTGCAGCAACCCTTAGAAAATGTTTCACACATCTTACTCCTAAAGTTGCTCCCTTGAGGAGAAGCATGCATGTGCTGTAATTCTTTTTATCGATGGTCTGGAGACAGAACCAGCATTCGCAGTAAGTTCACGAACCATTGCACTTGCTAGCTTGATCTGATCAAAGCTTCCCCCTAGCTCAATGTTTTTGAGGTTTGGATCAGAATCTTGATCTCTGATAGAAAGTCTGGCTAAGAGCTGATTTCAATGTTCCCAATGATGGCTCCAGCAAAGGAAGCCTTAACACTAACCTTGGCAGTAAATGTAATCGTATGCACATACCTTGCTTAACAGGCCAATAAAAATGACGATGTGAATATACCACAGAAAGGATAGACACATTAATATTTGTCTTAAGGGCCTTAAAAAGCAAATCCATACTTCAGTCAGCATAATCGAAGATGCTCTCGTTCTTTTTTTTTTTTTTAAAAGCAAAGCTCTCGTTCAGGTTTACCAAGAATGCTTGCCCTTGAAAGCTGTTGTCTGGCCTTTTATTTTACATAATCAATTTGATTTTGAAAAATCATCGGAGAAAATTAAAGATTCACAGCATATGAAGACATATTCCTCTTGTTTGAAAGAATAACCATAGCAAAAAGACATCAAAGCAGAGAGCTAGCCTGAGTTTCTTTAGAATAATCAGTATATTCAATCATTGTACTATTTTGAGCTACCATATACTGGCATCAAAAGAGAAATGCATCCAAATAAAGCAGAGTCAGGATAAGTCAACGCAATCTACTCATAAATCTACCAGCGTCTTGTTAGAAGCCCAGGGTGTTTTAATATTTTTCCTTTGTGTTGCTGTTACAGCCATTGGCTGTTGTGAAGTGTTCCCTAAAAATTGATCCCATTTGTGTTTTATCATCCTAAACAAATCCCCAAACTGGACTAAATGATAAAATTAACATATTCAGCAGCAATTCTGGATTCAAGTAAAATCACCAACAAACGCTTGCAACATACTAAAGACATGTCAACTGCAAAGCAGATGAAAAGAAAACAATATGATTTAAGCAGATGAAATATTATTTTTTTCAATCATATAAAGAACTTTTTGTAACCGATGCAAATTCAAGATTTCCAAGCATAAACCAGCATCAGGTAAATCAAGAGCATCCAACTATCAGCAAAATTTTGTTCTGTTCTACTCACAGGATAATTCTTGAGCGCAGCATAGCACAAGTCATCCCACCAATCCGCATCAGATATCTTGCAAAGATTGCAGACAATATTGTCTGCAACCAATACAAGAAAGCAAAGATTTGCAACCCAAAGAACTTGTTTCAATTTTACTATAGCCCGGCATTTGTATGACTTTGATTTGCTTCCTAAACCAGTTGTAAAGGACTCCATTTCTGATGCAGAGCATCACTTAAGTCCCCTCTCACATAAAATTTCATTGTCGAATATTCATTTCTTCTCACCAATAAAGCAATATTAAATCATCTAGTTTAAATCATAGTATTGTATTTTGATATTTGCCCATCATCACTGGTCTCGCACAATAAGATCTAACATCGAACATATTATGTTCAAGAAGCAAAAATAAAATTCAACCCAATTCAATGTTACTGTATGGTGAAGGATTTCGAATCGCAGACCTACCTACTTTAATTGACCAATATTTCCCTGAAAAGAAGAAGAAGTAGATATTGTCGTCATTTATTTCATATATCTGTTAATAACAAAAACAGGGAAAGGAAATAGGCCCCACTCGATTACTCCGAAAGACAAAAGACAAAGCTTAGACAATAAATTAAACATTTGATATAATTTCCTCTTGCATCCAGAAAGACATTGGATAAAAAAATTCATAGCTGGAAGAAAAAACACGGCAATGGATAGGCATTAAGTAAAGGCAAATTCAGGCCTTCCCCTCTTGCGAGCTCCTGCAACGTCCTTGGCAACATGTATAGCGTTAGCATTTAGCAGCTACATCAAGGAAAGCAGGAGAAGAATACAATCGTAGAGTCCAGATGATAAAAAAGGCCTGGTGCCATGGAAGACCACCGAAACCAAACAGAGCTTCGATTTTCTCATGCCGAACACTTTTTTTTTAAAAAAAAAAAAAAAAAAGCACGTGCGCGGAGCGATCGGTATCCACCGGCGGTAGCCGGTAGGACTGGGAAAGTCGGAGGATAGCACCGGGATCTGACACCAGGATGTGCGCGATGCGCACGTGACGTCTTAACTTCAAAAAATAAACCCTCTACATTTTTTTTAATTAAACTCTCTCCATTAATTTAAAAATATAAAATATTTTTCATCAAATCTCATTTTTAATAAAATAATTACTTATTTTTAAATTTAATCTATTTTTTATATTTATTTTTATTTATTAAAATATTTTATTTTAAAATAAATATAAAGTGATTCTTACAATAGGAGCATTTTAAAAAAAATAATGATTACATCTTAAAAGATTAAAAATATTTTTATTTTTTTTATTATAAATCTTAAAAAAATAAAGGGAGTAAGTTTTTTGATATTTTTTACATAGATTAAAAAATTTAATTAAGATAATAAAATATTAACTATGTTGTTATTGTCTTTAAAATCTAATAAATATTTTAAAAAATTGAAATAAATAATAGTATGTTATGAAAAAAATTTCAGTAACGCTTTAAACTTTCAAAAAGACATATAAAATGAAATAATTTTTTTTCTGAAAAACATATATCATAAAATGGAAGGAATTTAATTCTTATAATCATTATTTTTTAAAAATTAATTTGATTTGAAATAAAAATATAATAATAGATTAGTTCCTTCATGATATCCGATAAAAAAAATGTATAATGCTTAATCGTATAATTAAATACTATTCTTTTGTCAGTGGCTAAATTATATTGCATTTTAACTTTCTTGATATCATCAATATGTGGTATGTATCTCAAAATATCTCTCTGACGGATAAAGTATTACTCCTTTCATTAAAAAATATAAGGTATTTTTAACCAAATTTCATCTATT